CTTCCCCATGTTTCTATTATATATTAATTACATATAATTATTTTTATATTTATAATTTCTTCATCTTATTTTAATTACATTGTTTGTTTTACTTATTATAAGCCTAATAATTAAGTATCTCTCTATAAAATCTAGTTTATCTGGAACAAGAATACGGGTTCTAAAGGTACCCGTATTCTTGTAAACTTGATACGTTGTTGAAGTCGCGCGCGCGAGAAAACGCGTCCCCGTTGGCAACACTGGCGGTTGTAGTACTGAATGCACCCATCGCACCCATTAAGCTGGTTCTACATTCCTCTAATTTCCACCGAGGGTTCGAACCGGGTTAGAATGCAAGAACCAACCAACTACAATCAAGCATTCCCTTGTAATTCGACTGTAACAGGGGAATGCTCTACTGTAATTGGTTGATTTTTGCATTCTGACCTGGTTCGAACTCTCGGTGGAAACTAGGCCAGTGATCGCATCGCAGCGTCGCAAGCGTGTCGCAAGCATTGCGGTCCAATCAACGTCAAGCTAGCTCAACTCTGATTGGACTACAACGTTTGCGACACTCTTGCGACACAGCGATGCGACTAATGTAAAACCAGCTTTAGGCCGGAATCAGACTAGGCATTGAAGATTGAGATTGAAGATTGAAAGATTGAAATTTGATCAATCAAAACAATAGGAACTAAAATTCCTTCGCCCTCATGGGTCAAATTTCAATCTTCAATCTTCGATCTCGATCTTCAATGCGTAGTCTGATTCCGGCCTTATGCCCGTGTCACACTACGCATTGGAGATTGAGGATTGCGAATTAAGGATTAGAATTCGACCAATCAGGTAATTTTAAGTTTAATCCGTTTCGTTCTAATTGGCTGAATTTTAATTCTCAATTCGCAATCCTCAGTCTCCAATGCGTAGTGTGACACGGGCATTAGAGTGCCGTCACATACAGTCCGCAATCCGTAATCCGCATCGGATGTCCACAAAAGCATCTAGGGATTGTGTATGTACGGCAGATATTTTTCACGTAATCCGCAACTACGTGAAAAGAGAGTTCTAATGCAGTCTAGTGCACGTCAGAAAGCAGACCATTTGTTGTATTTGCACTAATAACATATATCAAAGATTCATTATGCACTTCTAATTTCAAAATTGTTGTCAAACAAATTAATCACTATTTATAAATTAAAGGTAGATTATGGCACGTTTATTTTTGTTTGACGTCGGAGTGCAATTGCGTTGCGTGCTTACATGCTCCTTGTGTCCCATGGAGCCGCAAAATGCGAACGTGTAAATGTAACATTTTTTATTTAAGAAGTTATACGGTTCATTTTTATTTTATTTTATAAGAAAATTACAGAATATATTTTGATTATAACAAAAGTTTTAATTAAATCGTCAAATTTAGTCAATAGATAAAATTAGAAAAAGCATTACTAGTAATAACTAGTAATTTTTACGGAAATTTCATGAGATTACGGCTCCATGGAACACAAGGAGGTAAAACACACGTAATGTTACGGACGCAATATCTAGTAACGTTTGCAGATATCCGGTGCGGAGGATAAGGCCGTAGCACAGACTCTTGCATAACGCATAACACATAGTGCACAAGCGAATCAACTAATCAGAATCTTTCCTTTCCTCCCATTCCATGAAAAAGAAGAATTTCGATTGGTCGATTCCCTTATGCACTATGCATTATGCGTTATGCAAGAGCTGTACTGCGGCCATTTCGATTGGTCGATTCCCTTATGCACTATGCATTATGCGTTATGCAAGAGTCTGTGCTGCGGCCATTAGAGTATATCCACACAACTTGCATAGCCGCATAAACGTATGCATAAAGAAAATGGCTGCGTTCAGCAGACTCAACAGTTTTGCAACCGTTTTGTGATTGTCTATTGAGATAGGACCATTCTTCTAGATCTAAAAGTATGATCCAATCAGCTCGAAGGAAACTTCCAACAGTTGCAAAACGAACGTTCTGATGAACGCAGCCATCCAATCGCATTTCTTTTATAAAAACGTACGTAAATTGTGATTGGATAATTTTCTTTATGCATATGTTTATGCGGATATGCAAGTGTGTGGATATACCTTTATAGGGACTCTAGATGCACCCAAAGAAGATGCACTGAGCTAACCTGCTGTTGGCACTTCTGCGACTTTGATTGTCGATTAATTTAACTAGAAGTTGATGACAGTTGAAGGAGGGAAAACTTTAAAAGTCGCTCTCGTGGATATTACGTGGATATTATTTGCGACAACAACCATGTGTAAGTACACGCACGTAGTCAGTTTTAGGCTATTTTAAAATATATGATGCCGCCGATGCGACGTAACCTCTTTTTTTTTTTAATATTACAGCGTCAGCGATGCTTGTTAAGCGTCAGTTAACCAAAGTGATAAACAGATTCAAATTCGAGGAACTGGAAAGTGCTGTGATACCCGTTTTTCCAGAGACATCATGGTCTCGCGTCAGATCCAAATTGATTAAGAATCACAAGACTTTTACGGTAGCTAATGCAGTGCACGTTATCCAGGATATTCTTGATGTAAGAATCACTTCCTATAATCTCTGCCTGAAATTTAAATGTTTACAATAGAATATCATTTTTACATCTGATTTATTTACAGAACACAGATTTAAGTTTGAAAGATTTACATGACAGATTGACAACACTGGAAGTAACATGTGAGTTTACAATCATAAATATTAATCCTTGGAGCAGAAAATTCTGTAATACTGATGTTGGGCCTATAAAACTCTTATAATTTACGTTAGTTACAAGATACTAATTAATCCTCCATTGGCCATGTGAAATTTTGAACCTTCTGTTAGCAATCTGGGTTCCCTATTCTTGAAAAATATTGCATATGTAAAACTTGAGAAATAAAATAATATATGTAACATTTACTATAGTATTTTCCTAATTTTACTATATATGTAATATTTTTCAAGAATGGGACTCTGAGTCTTTGACAGTCTTCGAGCTTCAGTATAAATTTTTGTGTTGTTTCAGACTGTATAAAAATCTGAAAAAAATCTTGCATACTTGTGAAAATTTTAACAAGTCTTTCTATCATAAAAATTGGATTGTATTTTACTTATTTTTAATGATAAAAACTTATATGAATAATCAAGACCTAAGGATCTTGTATATTAATTAATGAAGCTTTAAGTAATTGAACATCATAATTTTTGTTCATTCTTAGGTCTTATTCATTCTTACAGTTTTTTTTACTTATTTTTCATGTACAGATATATTTAAATTTGTCTACCAGAATTCATCAGAATCAAATCATCGATTGTAGCTTCAAAGTTCAACTTGGCCAGCAGAGGATTAATTTCAAGGAACTAAAATGACATAACTCATATAAAAAAGAATGAATGTTAAGTATATTTTAATAAAAGTAATCCCAATTTGTAGATGTAACATAAAGAAAATTAAATTATTTGACATTTTTGAGAAAGAGATTTATGATTGAGTAGGTCTAATAGATCCACTATCAGTTCCAGATTAAATTCAAATTCTTGAAATAAAATTTATGAGAAATATTAATATCAACTTATGAAATAATGGTCTTTTAGATATAAGCAGACATAACAATAAAAGAATATGGTATGGATACAAATTGTCAGGATTGAATAATGAGTTGAGGCATCTTGATAGTCAAGAGATACAGGAAGGTATCAAAAAGGAATTTTATTCGAATGGTTTGGACATGGATATAAAAGCTGTAATGTATGACAGTATCATGTTTATATGTGTTAAGGAGAAGAAAAAGAAAAAGAAAGCACAATATCTCCTATTGCCAACCTATTTCGCCTTGTTTTTCGGACAAAAGTATTTTTTTTGCTCAAGGAAGAATGTATCAGTTGATTATATAAAAACGATAGCTTTCAATCTAGGTTATAATAATAGCAAAAGAATCAAGCTGATGGGCAAGGACCTCAAATCTTTAATAAAATTATTATGGATTAAGCAACAAAATGTTTTACAAGCTGGAGATATTAATCAACCACCTGTTTACCAACCGTCTAACCCTGTCATCAGGTAATTTCAGAAATTTATTTTGTTCATTTGTTTTTATAGATATATTTAATGCTCAATATGTATATTATATACTATGAGATGTTTTATTATTCAACACACTGTATTTTATACGCTCTCTCTATAACGTGTAAACCTTGTTACAGTAATAATGGCACAGATTATACGCAGAGCAAACAACGGAAAAAATATGCAGAACAGTGTTTTGGCAAAGATCCTCCAATTCTAGAGAAGCTTGTTATAAAGGGGCCAGAGGAATCTATAAAACATGATAGTGTAGCTTCGAAGTTGCCTACTAATAATATACGTATGAAGTAAGAAAATTTTTTTTACCCATACCCGAGATCACACTATTTGTACATTTTAATTTGAAATTTCTGTTTTAGCTGGGAATTTCGTAGTCACAACATGGCAAGGTTTTTAACCGCCTTAATTGAAAGACGTGCGTTTATGCCGCCATTACCTGATTATATATCTAATTTTATGATAATGGGAAAAAATGAGTTAACACTTCAGACTGAGCAGCAAACTCAGTCATAAATATGAATTTTATTGTAATAACAAAATTAAACATTGACATCTTAAAGCTGGCCACACACGTTCAAGCATTTCACAAATTTGCTTGAACATGACTGAGACTGTGTACTTAAGAATCCTCAATATAAAATCCGATATATCGTTTTATATATCCGTAATATGATCAAATCATTTGTCTAGTTTTTGTTTTTCACGTAAAATAATTCCTTTTTTAAAATTATGACTATTTTTACAGCTGATTCAAATATTTCATGCATGCGATGCCTGAAATATTTAAATCAGCTATAAAAATTTTAAATATTAACTATAAATATTTACTAAATAATGTAAACAATGTGCGAAATCGTATCGAAAATTGCGTACAAAAATAAAAGATAAATTATATAGGCCGATTTGAATTGTACATGAACTGTATTTTAACATAATGTGAATATTATTCCAATTTGTAAATAGTACGTTGTTGTAACAACAGAGCAATAAGAAAAATTAATAATTAAAGTCAGTTCTTCGAGTTCAAACTAAATAGTAAAAATAAGAGTGCAAAATGCTGTATTAAATTTATTATATAACTTTATTACATAGAAATGACATTAAAAGCCTCTGTTACAATAATAAAGTGAGTTTGTTAAAAGTCCAAATGTTTATCCTACATGCTATTTTACTGATAAAGTTCACTTGTGCCATATGTATGGCAGTCAAGTAAAGTATAACGGGATTCATTAGGTTATTGTTATGTGACAATATTAGATATTATTCAATATATTTCAATATATTTATTCAATATTCTTGTTTATTATGAAAATTATAGCATTGTTCCTGTGCATCTTTAACTAGCACTTATCAGTCTTCATCAGATTCCTCTTCGTCGGACGTTACATCAGGATCATTCGCTTGCGCTTGACATTTGTCGCAATGACAAACAAACAGATACAAAGAGCTTAGTGCCTGTTGCCTGGAATGTTTACTCCTCTCTAGCTGGCATTCGTCAAGGTAACTTGTACAGATTTCCTCGCCAACTTTTATATTTCGTATTGCTTTTAATACTAAAGTATTATTTGAATAAGGGAATTCAACAACTGCATTTGGTATGCAACTATGGTTCACTGACGATTGTAGAACGTAGAGTCCAGATCCTTCATTATTCAAAAACGGACCTACCGCTGTGAAAGAAATTTTCAGAAGTTACATGAATACTTATTGAACGCTCTAGAGAAAAATAAATTATAAAGATAAAAATTACCTTCATCCATTGCGTCATAAATTCTCTCTATCAACTTGTCAATGTAAATTCTTTCGTCTTTGGGCAATTCTAAAGCGGAAACATTTTTCACCCAGCGGCTGAATGAACTAGTACCAATTCCTTGTCCGTTTGTTCCTACTAAAGCTAATAAACTTCTAAAACCATCTGGCGTGAACCACTAAAAACAAGTTCCAATTAACATTAGCATAAATATAACAATAATATATGTATATTACACACATGTGCGGTGTACTCAGTGTTAAGAGCCTCCTTCATCATTTGCTGAAGGATATCAATCTGGCCTACAAACTTTTCGCCTAATAAATAGTGCACAATTTCGTGCGTGTCATTAGAAACGGTACGATGGCAAAACTGTAAAAACATTGCTGAAGCTTCCTCTTTGTCATTTGCTTGATTAACTATAGCGACCATCCTTGCTAGCAACATGATTGATGCACTTTCAGGTGGATAATGCATTTGTTTCCACGTTTCACATAACTGATTGAGAGGATGACTCTCATCCTTGACTCTCCCTTGTAGACACAGTGTACTATGATATCTGAAAAACAATAAACGAGTAGTGTAATATATAATAAAAACTACAGCAAACATAAAAGTTCAATTGTATTATAGTTATAAATTGATGACCAGTGAGTCTGAAACACAATAGTGTAAACAACTAAAAAAAATACAAATTTTATAATACAAATAATTATGCTTATAATTAACTTTATAAAAAAAACAGAACCGCTTATCAGCATCTTAAGACGGTCTTAAAGTAAGAACTGACTATGAGTACCGTTCATATATAAATTTTTTTTATCGATATTATTTCATTAGTTAATTTTCTGTCAAATTGAAAAGTAATTTTTCTCCTTATTTGGAAAACTAATTTTTTAGTTGTCATTTTTTTTAAAAGAGAGCGATATAAAAAGTTTCCACTCGTAATCACCTCTGAAATGCTTCGTTCTGACATTCTACGCTGCAGTACTTGACTCCGCACTGGTGGCATTCGGTTATTAAACTCTTGTTTACTTCACAGCATTCCTTGTGTGGTACAACAAAGTTTGAATTACCAGTTAGCCTATGGACATTCTCCTCCGCTGTTTCCAACGGTTTCAGGCAGTGGTCGCATGCCAAGTATCCAAACTGAGAGTTCCATAAGAACTGACAGCATATCACAGGTTTCTCCTCGAGTATCACGTCTCCTTCCTTAAACGCGCGATTAGAGAATAGCCCTTTGCCCTGCAAGATGAATGCACAAATTAATAATCCATGGTGATATCTTGGGAACTGAATCATTAAATAATTCGCTGTGTGGCATTTTTTTATCTGTTTAATTAGGTAGGGTTTTATTTGCTCTATTATAATTTGTCTGATATTACAATCACATCTGATAATTATACTTTCTTCATCATAGGAGATCATTTAAATATTTGCATCGTTATTTCATTGTAAATGGATTTATTAATATATTTAATATTGTCAAATATTGCATTCAATATATAGCTATCATTATTATTATCATCAGACATCTCACTTTTGAGGTGATTTCACTGTCCCATCATATACATCAAATATGAATTATACTATTTTTTTTTTAATTAATTGCTATTATTGCATTTTTATGCCTCTGGTAGAAATTTTTCTCATATAATTTTTTAGAATTTCTGAATAATTACAAAGTTGTTTAAGTCAAACTAGGATTTTTAGTCTTGTGAGTATAATAAGAGATCCGAGCGCATTCTGTTAATTACGAGTGAATACTGCTGTCAAATTTTAAAAGATGTACATAATACTTTCAAGAAGAAACAGTCTGATTTGATCACTAAACATGTTTTGTTACTGCAGGACAGTACATGTCTTTATACAGCTACTTGCATATTACAGAAACTCAGCTAGGAATTAATGCCATGTCCTTATAATTATGACCTTGTTCCAAGTGATTTCTACCTGTTTGAACTATTAAAGAAATTTCTGGGAGGCCAGCATTTTAGCAGTGACGTAAAATAGGCAATCTGATCATAGCTCCAGTGTACTAAGAAATTTTTCTATGCTGTCCAAACACTGGTGAAACACTGGAATAAGTATAATTAGTAGTAAAGCAGAGGATCATATCAAGAAATAAAGATAGTTTGCATTATCATAAATGTGATCTGTTATTCTATGTAATCAACAGTTAGTTTGATTTGAACATAATATATCTTTTTATTTCTCATCTTTTTCATACAAATTAAAACACTTTTTAGAAGTGTCAAAAAAATCTATAACTTTCCTGGAATTCTTTATATGCGCGAATTCTGAAAAATTCTATGATTTTTTTACGAAATCTTATAAAATCTATACAATATTTTTTCAGAAATTATAGAATGAGAAATCTTAGTGTATTTCAGAATTCACAAATTAAAAAAAAATTCCAAGATTAATTTTCTCAGTATTTCTAAAAAGTATTTCAATTCGTATAAAAAATTTCAGAAAAATATTCACCAGGGCATACGTTCCCCCTCCCTGCTCCCCTTTATTTTATCCCGCTTTATATTTTAATTGTCGTAGGAAAGAACCACACGGTGAATCATAGAAATGGCATGCGGCCGTAATCGAAAATACGTCTTACTTTCTCATCGTTCACCAGCTTGATGAAGAAGCCCTTATCCGCCATAACCTCGCCGTCGATCATCATACCGAGTGAGAGAGATACACCGGGCGGAAGAAAAAAACAAACCTACCGTACAATTGATGAAATACATTCGAATCCTAACCTTACCACGAACGCGATTCAATGACCGCCGTGAAGGCTGTCACGGATGCGCAATATTGTTGGTTCACACTACATCCGATTTTCGGCCGTCCGCGC